CCCCCCCTTCCCTCCTTCCCCCGGCAGGTTGCGCAACTAGAACCCGGCCCCGCTTTTTGTTTTTGGGCCCCCCCCCTCGAGGGAGGCGCAATTGGCCCAATTTTTCCCCCGGAGGTGCTCCACGCCATCCCCCCCGGAATACCCGCGAGGCCCCGAGGGGGAGAGACCCCCCCTCCGGGGGTACTCCTTTCTGATCGGGGCCTTGCACACTTTGCACACCCTCACGCTAGCTCCCCCCCGTGAGTGTGTGTGTGTAAAAAAAACACTTGTTCCCCCCCCCCCCTGGAGGCCCCCCCCCCCCCCCTCCGCACCTCGCCTTGACGTCGCCGGCTTCTCTTCTCCTTTAGGCCCTCGAGGCGCGCCTGCGCGGCCGAGGCACAGAGACAGAAGCGAGGGTGCAGCGCCGCCTCGCCAACGCCGCCGCCGAGATTGGCTATGCCACCGAGCGGGGCGGCGCGAACTTTGACGCCGTCTTGGTCAACGACGACCTCGAGCAGTGCTACGCTCAGCTCAAGGCGCCGTTCCCCCCCACGCATGCGGCAGACACACTGCGGAAGACATACCCGCGGACGCACGCGCGCCGGCGAAGTCCATTCCCCGGCTCGACACCCGCAACTCGAAAGGACAGCGCGTGTTCGGCCGTCCGTTCGTGCGTCGCTCTCCCGTCGCTGCACGCGCCAGCCCTGCTCCTGCGCTCACGCGGCACTCACGCGGCGTCGAGGGTTGTGGCTCTGGGTGCCGCTGGGTGCCTTCCGCACTGCTCTGAAGGGGGGAGGGGGCGAGAGCTCAACGACACACCCCGTGGCATACTCTGGCCCTGGCGGCCGGCGTGGCGTACTCTGGCCCTGGCGGCCGGCGCCCCCTCAGGCGCTGCTCGACTGCGGCGACGACGAGGGCGGCGTGCCCGGGCTCAGGTCGCCAACAGTCCGCCGCCCCTCGACCTAGCCGCTGGCGAATGAGAGCCGCTGGCGAATGACGCGCGGCTCCCCTCCCCCCGGGCGTGAGCAGGTCCCCAAAGACTCCGTCTCCCTCCGCCAGCCCGAAGAGCCCTACCAAGAGCAAGACGCAGCCGCCGGCGCGAGCCTCGGCCAGCTCGACCGAGGCCAGCTAGCCGCGGCCATATAGCCGCGCAGCCCCGCTGCTGCCCTCCGCCGCTGCCCTCCGCTGCCGACCCCGGGGGGCTGCCGGTGCTGCTGCCCCCCCCCCCCGGCCGGCTAGGGTTAGCCGCCCGGTCGCGCTATCTCCGCATGCTCCATTGTTGGGTGGCTTGCCCTATCCGCGTTTGTGGCTCTGTGTCCGCGGTGACGCTCAGACAGCCCGCGCCGAAGAGCCCGGCGCGGCGCTTGTTGTCTGTGCCTGTGGCCCCCTGCTCCGGTGCTCAGCTAGCACACAGCCGAGCCTGCTCCCTGCTGTCACCGCCCTGTATCTGAATCTCCCACAATAGAGTGGTTTAGCGTGCTGACTAGAGTGACACGTGTGTGGCGTCCTGTCTCACTTGTTCAACCAACAAGTGTTCGTACCGTAAGGCGTCTCTCTACGAAAATAAAGCCTAGCCATTGAGCGACCCCGCCCGCCGCCCCGGGCCCGCGAGACCGAGCGCGGACAAACCCGTACGCCGCGCCATGCGGTCTGACTCCAAGGACCGGCCTAGTGCCCGCAGCGCTACTCCACAGGTACTGAAGCAAGCTGCTCGCGCAGCAAGCACAGTGAGAGCCCCCAGACACGGCGCGCGGGCTGCGCGGAGGGCGGCCCTGCGCTCGACATCACGGCCTGACTCACGGCAAGGGGGCGTGGGGGAGGGGCATGGCGGCCGGCAACAGTAGAGGGAGAGGGGGGCTCAGCTGGTCTTCGCGTAGAAGGTGGACTCAAATGCCGCCTGCTTGGCCTTGCACATGTGGGGCTGAAGGTCCTCGTTGTCTAGACACTTGGCGAGCGCGTCAAACTCCTTCTTTGTCGTCGAGGAGATCTGCTTGAACAGGCCGTACACGCAGCCGTGCACCGCGTCGCCCTCGGAGACACAGGCGGTCGGGTTGTCGTCCTTGGCCTTGCACTTCATAAAGTCGTAGTTCTGGTCGAAGCACTTGTAGCCAATCACGCGACCCGCCGCGTACAGCTCCTGGCTGCTCGGCGGCCGGCCCGACGGCCCCACCTCCGAGACCGAGCCTCCGACGTTGACCATCCTGCGGCGGCGAGGGATGGAGCGTCGGACGGCGCGGCAGCCACGGGGAGCGGCGGGATGTGGTGGAACCGCAGCTGGGCCAGCGGGCAACACGCTCAGCAACACACGGGTTCGGGTCCTTTGCTGTCGAGGTCTCTGTGCGCGAGTGTCTTGTGAGCTTGTGTGTGTGTGTGTGTCGCTCGCGCCGTTCGCGCGTGTCGTCCTCTTCTGTCTCGCGTCCACCATATGTTCCGCGTTGGTGTCCACGTGTCCAGTCCGAGCCAGACTGTCTGTTCTTCACCTGTCTACCTACTGTGCCGTCCGTACGAAAGTCTGTGCAGCTGTGAACAGCAGCTCCTGAGCACGGCGCCGCAGGCGCCTGTTGATAGGTCCAGGTGATAGCCCTGGATGGGCAATGCATACGCCTAGTTGGGCCTCAGATCGCCCGACCGCGTCCCGGTTTGGCCTGCACAAGCTTTTCCGGCAAACAAAAAGGAAAACAGAGGGTCCCCAGCACTTTGCGTTTCCGGAAATTTCCAGGGAAAACAGAGGGTGTTTGGTGCTCCATTCTGGAAACTCGCGAGTTTCCCTGAGTCTGAGAGAGAGAGATTTTTAAAGACCAACAAGAAATCATCGCCCGCCGACTTCGATTGGGTCCGGTTCAACCTCACTCTCATCTTATCTATTACAGACACAAAACGTTAAATCTGGCTCACCCAGGGCTGGACCTAGTCCCCACCTGTGCCCCTGATCGTCCTTCCAAAATCCTGCTTGCAGGTGTGGACCACCCTGTCCTCGCTCCCGTCCCTCGTTTCGGGTGGAGCACTTGGAGCACTTGGAGTGCAGTCATTAGCCTCACATCCAGGGCCGGGGAGCTAAGAAGCGCACCCAGCGGGCCGGATGATCGGGATCGGGCTACGGGCTAGAGAGCCCTGACCCCTAGGGGGGTTGCGCGTTCGCAGGGAAAGGGCCAAGAACATGCCTTGTTTCTTTCTTTCTTTCTTTCCGTGTTAGTGCCAGTGCGCGCCAGTCCCATGCCCAGTGGTGCGAGGGAGTTGATCATAAAACCATCTTTCTCGAGATCAAAGGAACGCGATGGCGCACACCACGACGGCCTCGGATCGCTTAGCGCACATCGTGTACGCCCTGTACGGCCCTTCGCATGGCCGCCACCTCGAGGTTTGGAATCGCACGTGGCTCAGCGGCAAAAAGTTTGTGTACGTGCCGGATGCTCCGAAGGGTCCGTTCGCCGCCAACTTCCGGGGCGTGCACGCGCGGGAGAAGCGTGGCGCTTCGAATCCCGCATCGCGGTACCGCTTCATCAGCGATGCCAACATGCTATGGGCTGCGCACATCGCCAACATGAGCTTCCCGACTGCCCGCTGGATCATGGTCGTCGACGCAGACACCTTCTGCTTTGACAGGACGCTTCGCGCGCGAACCCGCTCTTTGGAGTGGAGGCGACCCATCGCCATTGGCATGATGGGCGGATTCGGAAAGGCGTACGGCGGCGTCGTCAGACGTAGCGACGCTTCATGCGAGAGCGTGTGCACCAAAGAGAACGGCGACGGAAACTACGAGCTGCGCTTGCAGTCACCTGCGATGCGCGGCTGCTGCATGTGCCCGGTCCTGCCCGCTGCCGACTCGTTTGCTCTCTCGCCAAACGGCACGGCGTACTACCGTCCGCCGCACTTTGATCCGTACGGCGGGACGGGCATCCTGCTCTCCAGAGGGCTGCTCGATGCCATCCCATCCGCTGACTGGGCTCTGTGCACGCGGCGCTTGGTGTGCGGGTCTGCGGACTTCCGACTGAACACTTGCATCAGCAACTTGCACAACGGCACGCGGTATCTGCACGCCCACGAGAATTTTGACTTCATGAGTGCAGCACTGCGCGACGCGATCAGCCCCGTTGAGAACATTCGCTACAATGTTTTCTGGAGCACGATACACAAGGACCCCGTTCGTCGGCCAATGGTGCTCGACCATTTTCGCAATGGATCGTGCCCCTGGAGCATGCACAAATTGCAGCTAAACCTCGCGCCGCAGGTCTACGACCTCGCTAGACATTGTATGTAGACGAGCACCTTCCGTTGTCGTGCTCTCTGGGAGTTAGTTGAAAGTATTGTTCTGAGTTTTGTGAAGCGCACGCTGTGATTTGAGAGATTTTTAGAAGCCAACAAGAAATGTGGTCTCTCTTGTGATTTCTCTCTTCTTCTATTTTGTGTGCGAAGATAATTTTTGGAGTCAGGAGAGAGTGCGCGCGGTGGTCCGCGGTCCCACTCTTCTTGTAGCCGATGCCATCCCGATGCGCTGCCGCCCCGCCTTCAAGTCTTAATAAAAAGGAAAACCTCCCCCATGCTGCCCCGCTCAACAGGCCTCGCGAGAGCAGGACTTGCACCGGCGCGCACGGGCCTGCTGCTTATGGTGGCGAAGCAGCCGGCGGTGTCGGCCTTTCCTGCTCTAACAGCGGGAGTGGCGACCGCCTCCGACGGCAGTGACGACCTCGAGCAGAAAATCGCTGCCACTGTCGCTGCGCACCCGGTGGTGGTCTACTCCAAGTCGCGGTGTGGCTACTCAGCCCGCACGAAATCTCTCTTCGACAGCCTCGGCGTCGAGTACCACGCCGTGGAACTGGACAAGGCTGCGGATGGCGCCGCGATGCAGACGGCTCTGGCGCGGCTGACCAAGCAGCGGACAGTCCCAAATGTATTCGTGCGAGGCAGCCACCTTGGCGGCAACGATGCGACGCAGGCGGCCGCCCTCAGCGGCGAGCTCCAGAAGATGCTCGGCTTGACCTCATGATATGTGTCCTCACGGGGTCCAGCGATAGAGCCGTATGCGCGCCACACTTCTCGGACTTGCGCCACCCCCGACGGCACACGGACACGCCGAACCGTCTCGACACCAACCATCCTGCACCTTTAGTGCGTACTAATATGTCTCAAAAACTAACTCTAGTTTAAGACTCTCTAGTTTAAGAGCGACCGTTTCGATGGTCGTCAATGTCACATTTTGGCGCGGTCATGTCATGCAGAGAGTGTTCTCCGCACTCCGCGCAGAGCGCTCCGCTGGCGTGCGTGCAGCACGAGTATGAATCCGGGCGCGCGCTCACCGCGCAGCCCCTCCTCTCCATCCCAGCACGGCTCCCATGTCGCTGGCGGCTCACTGGACTCACTGGAACCACGTCACCGCGTGCAGCCGCTCGCCGGTGAAGACGTCGCGGCCGTGCATCACCTTGGGGGCGAGGGGGAAGGGGGGGGGGGGGGGGGGGTCTCACCTCGCCCGTGCGAGGGCGAGGGCTGCGATGGCGAGGGCTGTGATGGCGAGGGCTGTGATGGCGAGGGCTGTGATGGCGAGGGCTGTGATGGCGAGGGCTGTGATGGCGAGGGCTGCGATGGCGAGGGCTGTGATGGCGAGGGCTGTGATGGCGAGGGCTGTGATGGCGAGGGCTGTGATGGCGAGGGCTGTGATGGCGAGGGCTGTGATGGCGAGGGCTGTGATGGCGAGGGCTGTGATGGCGAGGGCTGTGATGGCGAGGGCTGTGATGGCGAGGGCTGTGATGGCGAGGGCTGTGATGGCGAGGGGCTCTTGAGCATCCCGCTGCACCAGGGAGGCGCGAGGGGGGAGGGCGGTGTGGCGACAGAGAGGGGAGGGGAGGGGGGGGTCCGGGGCCAGGCGGGAGCGGCGCCTGGTAGTTGTCGACTAGGACGACGTCGCCCTTCTCCATCGGCACGTAGACGAGGTTCTTCATCGTCACCTCGTCGATGTGCTTCAGGTCGTCGGCTGAAACCTCGGAGAGGTCGCCGTAAAACATGTTTGTCACGTTGAGCTTGGACGCGCCCGAGCTCTCGACGAGCTTGCCGTCGCGGCCGTCGCGCAGGTAGCGCGAGTGCGAGTGCACGTTGCAGAACCAGGCTGGCTCTCCAGTGACCGGGTGGCGGTTCACCGGAGGCTGGGTCGGCGAGAACGCGAGCAGGCGCAGCCCGTCCTCCTCGTTCTCGTCCCAGCGCAGCTCGAGCTCCATGTCGATCTTTGCGCCGACGGCGACCTGCGCGACCGCCTTGAAGACGCCCTTGAGCGGCTCCTTCAGCGGCTGCAGCGGCTCGGGCAGCGTGCGCAAAAAGTCGAAGAAGGGCAGCTCCGCGTTGGAGAAGCGGACGCCCTTGTCGTATAGCCGGCGCAGCACCGCGGGGTCGAGGTCCTGCGGCGGGGAGGCGGCAGGGGAGGTGTCTAGGAGGTGTCTCGGAGGTGTCTAGGAAGTGTCTCGGAAGTGTCGCTGCGCGCCTTGAGCATCTTGTGCCCGTCGAGGAGGAGGAACTCGCCGCCCGTCTCGGCCTGCTTGAAGCAGACGAAGGCTCCCAGCCGGTTCGTCCGCTTGTACGTGCTCTCCGCGTGCATGCCAACAAAGAACTTTGCGCGCGACGGCTTGTTGACAGCCTCGTACATCGCGCTCTTCTTGTCGACCACCGCGCGCGCGCCGACGGAGGCGAGCGGGTCCTGGCACGGCTCGAGCTCGAGCTGCTCGTAGAACGACGCGAACCCCTCCTTCGTCTTCATCAGGTCGAAGCCGCGCAGCCAGATCGCGCCGCCCGCCGTCAGCTGCTCGAGGAGCTCCGGCCGCCTCGCCCGGAAGAACTCCTCCTGGCTCATGCCTTCGGGCACGTCAGCGGCGGTGATCTCGACCGGCAGCACGCGCGACGGCGACTGCACCGCCGCCAGGTCGATGTTCTCCGAGTTCCACACCGTCTCTGGGCACTTTGGCACCTCGGCGATCGAGGTGTCAAACGACTGCTGCTTGTCCTTGAGCTCGGGCGCAGCGGTGACCATGCCGACCGCCGAGCGGCGGCCGGCGCGGCCCTGCGACAGCGGCTGGCCGACGAGGGCGGCGGCGCCGCCCTGAGCGAGCAGGAGGCAGCAGCTGAACACAGAGCTGAACACAGAGCGCATCGCTAATGGGGTCGCCTCGGCCAATGCCGGCTTGTTTTCTTTCTTTCGAGCTGCTGGCGGCGGGCTCGAAGGCGAGCTGCTGGAGCTACTCGAGAGCTTGCCGCGAGGGGCGGTCGTCGGTCGAGGCCTCCATCCGGCTTATCCGGGGGTAACCGGTACACCCGCACAGGCGAGTGCCCATTCTCACTAGCCCTGATCCGCAGCGCGGCCGCTCGCCAAGCCCCTCAAGAGAATGAGTGGTTAGAGACCATGCAGGATAGTGCCCCTGTGCCCTGTGGCTGTGCCCAGCCCTCTCCGCCGCGTATGCGCCCCCCCCCCCCCCCCTCGCTTTTGCAAAAAAATCCTGCAACGGTGGGGACGTGTCTGTCTGTCCTCGACCCAGCGGCCCTAGCTTGGGATGTCCGTTTTATTTATTTATTTATGCGAGCGGGGCGGGGTGCGCATCCTCTTCTCCCAGGAAGCTACAAATGCGTACACCGAAAAAGTGAGATAGCCAAAAAACTCCCGGCTCGTCGTTCGGCAAATCAATTTACGGAAAAACGGCGATTTCGCTCGCTTCTTGGAGCACTTCCTTCTTCGAGCAGTCGCGGCGGCCGTGCTCCGAGCTCTGCCCCAAGCTATTCCCCATCCGCAGCACCAGTAGCTCTGCGCCATGCGCGTTTCGGTCGTGGTCTTCCTACTTTCGTCGAGCCATGTCTCCGCACATGGCCATATGTGCGCGCCTCGTATCCGCCCTTGTCGCCGCCGTCAGATCCGCCCCTCCTGTCCGGTGTACCCGCCCTTGTCGCCGCCGTCAGACCCGCCCCTCCTGTCCCACAGGACCTTCCCGTCGCGGCGCGACGCCTACTGGGTCGACGGCATCGTCTGCGACGCGTCCAGCCTCAACCCCGACAAGTTCTGCTTTCCGCAGCCGCACAACTTCCAGCAGTCAAACTATCCGTTCGAGTGGTACGAGCCCACCTCGGCGGACAGCCCCGGCGCGTCGGGCATGCAGCACTCCGACACCGCCTTCGCCTGCCACGACATGAAGGCGGGCCCGGTCACCGACACCTTCACCGCGGGCGAGCCTATCACCGTCGAGTGGGAGCTGCAGGCCAACCACCCGGGCGATTGCGCCCTCTACATTTCATACGACGACGAAAAGGACACTCCGCTAAACTGGATCAAGCTCAAGAACTTTGTCGGGTGCGCTGGCGACCAGGGCATGCTCGAGGGCAACGAGTTCCCTCCCGCCGGCAAGAGCACCGCCACCTTCACCCTGCCCTCGTGGCTGCCCTCGTGCGAGCACTGCGTGATCCGCTGGGAGTGGTTAGCCATCCACACCATCGAGATGCAGCAGTATACGACCTGCTCGGACGTCGCCATCCGCGGCACCAGCGAGGACGTCGCCGCCTTCCTCGGCAAGGTGTCGCCCGTCATGACGCTCAACAAGGCGGAGCACATCCGCGGCTACGTCCGCAACCCGTATCCAAACTGTCCCTCGTGCCCAAACAGGGGCATCGAGCTCGGCGAGGAGTTCATCCTGGGGCCGGCTATCGCGACGTACGACGGCAAGATGCCTCCCGCTCCGCCACCCTCCCCGCCGTCGCCGCCTCCCTCGCCCTCCCCGCCACCGTCGCCCTATCCGCCTCCGGACACCACCGACGATGGGGGCACCGACGACGGCGACGACGACGGCGGCGACGGCGGCGGCGAAGACGATGAGTCGTGCATTGCCACGTACGGCGACTGCACTCCGAGCCGCACCGGTGGCGCCTCGTGCTGCGGCTCAAACGCCTGCTTCCAGAAGGACCAATTCTACTCGCAGTGCCTCCCGGACTGTCCGACCGACCGCGACCCGGTGTGGACCTGCTACTATGCAGACCCCGCGCCGTCGCCATCACCCTCACCCTCGCCGTCGCCCTCGCCCTCGGCCTCCCCCTCACCCTCGCCGTCGCCCTCGCCGTCGCCCTCGCCGTCGCCCTCGCCGTCGCCCTCGCCGTCGCCCTCGCCGTCACCCTCGCCCTCGGCCTCCCCCTCACCCTCGCCAACGACGTGCCCAATGTGCGCCCACCACGCGTGTGGCTGCAACCTGCTCGGCAAGGGCTGGTGCACACTGGACCACTGCCACGATCAGCTGAACGCGGATGGCGTTTGTGACTGGGGAGTCTCTTGCTCGTCAGCGACGCTATCGCCCTCGCCGGGTCCGTCACCGGCACCGTCGCCGCCGCCCGCACCCGCGCCCTCTCCCGTGCCCGCGCCAACCCCGGGAGCGGGCGTGTGCCGTATCAGCGAGTGTGGCTGCCCCGGCAGCTACAAGAAGGACTGGTGCGACGACGAAAGCTCTCTGGAGAGCGATTCCTGGTGTGCTCAGGGGCCAGCAAACTGTGAAAACGACTGCACCGGCGAGTGGTGCCCATGATGCATGCCACGGGTGCGACGCGACAAGGCTCACGCCTCCCAGTCCTTCACTATGTTGAGTATCAAGGCCAGGACGGCTTGCCGTGCCTCTTCTGCCTCCCTTGTGCGCTCGGTCCTGAGCCCTAGTGTCGACTCCCAGCTCACCCAGCTCCCAGGCCTCCTCTGCTAAAGCCGTAGCAGAGTACATTCACAGCCTTGTTATTGAGAAGAAAATTTCACATACGTAGTACCGATGCGTATGCGCCGACGCTCTATTTTTTACGGCGCTCTATTTTACTCTCGAGTCCTGGAGATACATGATGACCTGATGGCCTGATGCGCGGTTGGATGTTGTGTCATGTGAGAGCGCTTTTACGATAAGTGTTTTAGTGATTAGTCCAAGGGAGCTCCCAGAGAGAACAACAACTGTGTTTTTGCACACTGATCATCACTCTGTGTCACTTGCGCGCGATCCGCTCTCCGCTCCTCTCCATGGACCATGCGATCCGGCCGCACACATGTGGATGTGCCACAATGCATATGTGCATGCACATGCCACACATGCATGCATGTGTATGCACATGTGTACATGTTGTGCATGTGACATGACATGCACATACATGCACATGCCATGGCCCCGCCCCAGGATAACTTCCTCGAATAACTTCCCACCTTCTCCCGCCTGTCCTACATTTGTCCCCTCCCCAGCCAAACTGCAAAGAACAAAGAGCCATCATGCGCGCGTCCAAATCAATTGCAATCGTAGCCCCCCCCCCCCCCCCCCCCGCCCGCCCCGCCGGGCTCCGGCTTCTCACCAAGCCGCCGCCGGGAAGTCTAGAGGCTGACCTGGTCGGTGAGGTCGAGGGCGAGCTGGGAGGCTGCCGAGCGGCGCAGCGGGACCGGCTGCGGAGCGCCGCCGTCGAGCAACTGCTCCGACCGAGCGACGCCCTCGGCGAGCGCGAGCAGCCGCGAGCGTTCCGACTTGGAGCGCGAGAGCGAGGCGCCCACCGCGCGGACCGGCGGAGGCTCGGCCGCCTCCGCCTCCGCGTCGGCCACGTCCTCGGAGAAGGACGCGGAGCCTACCGTGTTCGCCGCCTCACCCTCAGGAGTCTCGCTCGGCAGCGCGGGCGTGGGCGGGAGACGAGGGCGCGCACGGGAAGGCCGGCGAGGCGACGCCTTCGGCGGGGGCGGCTTTGCGATGGTCTTGAGCGACGGCACCCTGCCAAGCCCCTTTCCGCCGCTCTTTGGCCCGCCACCGCGTGGCGTGCCGCGCCGGCGCCTGACCGTCTGCCACCCGCCGCCCTCGCCCTCGTCGCCGTCCTCAGCGCCACTCCCTCCCTCGCCCTCGCCCTCCCCCTCCCCGGTGATGGCCATAAAGATGGACAGCCGGGATGGCGCCGGCGCCTCGCCGCCATTCTCGGGGCCGGACGCTGGGGGCGATCGCACCTGCAAGCGAGTGTGCATCGCGTCGGAAACGCGGCCGCGTCAGAGAGCCCGGGCTGGCGCTGGCGCGCCGTGACGGCAGCGGAAGCCTTGGCCCGTGACGCGTCGTACTCGGCTCGCAGCTGCCTGAGCGCGTGCGTGCCGCCGAGCGCGCGCCGACACGTGATAGCGAGCCGTTCCGTCATAGCGACGCCGCTCGACCACATCTGGAGCACGTACCGCCGGGCGCGCTGCTGCCGCTCACGCCGGCCGCCGCGCCCGGCGCCGGCGCCGTCTTCGTCGTTGGCGCACGCCTGCGGGGAGGTTCCGGGGAGGTTCCGAGCAAGCTCCGCCAGGTGCGTGTTGATCGCGACGCGTCGGGCAGCCTGGAAGAGCGCCGCGAAGGAGTAGTGGTCGAGGCTGAAGCGGAAGGCCGTCGTGGCCTGGCCCAAGATGCGCTCGGTCGCGTCCATGTCGCCGACTGATGCGTGCGCCGACGCGAGCGCGTTGAGCGTGACGAGCGTCGGCCGGACCCTCGCCTCCCGCATCAGCGCGAGGACGCCTTCCGCACGGAGGGGCTGCCGCTGGCGGGCGAAGAGCGAGATGAGCGAGTTGAAGCACGCTGCCTGGAGGCGGCGAAAAAGCGGAAGCGTGTCGGGGCCGGGCTGGCGGGCTCCTTACATTGCTCCGGGAAAGGACTCAAGCGGAGCGAGGCGTGCGCGGCCGCCTCGTGCCGCTCTGGATCTCCATCTGGCTCCTCTCGGCTCCTCTCAGCTCTGGCTCATCTCGGCAGCCCCTCTCGGCTCTGGCTCCTCTCGGCTCTGGCTCCTCTCGGCTCCTCTCGGCTCTGGCTCCTCTCGGCTCTGGCTCGTCTCGGCCCCTCTCGACTCGTCTCGGCTCGTCTTGGCGGCTTGCCTCGAGCGGCTCCTCCCTGCCGATCAACTCGCGCAAAGTCGCCTCGGCGCGGTCCGCGTCGCCGCTCTTCACCAGCGCGTGGACCAGGATGGCGTGCGTCTGCGGCGAGGCGCATACGCCTGCCTCCTCCATCGCCCGGAAGCAGACCGACGCGCTCGCCACGTCGCCGCGCCGCGCGTGTGCCGCGCAGACCGAGTTGAAGCACACCGCGTCGGCGGGCACGCCTCGAGCGCGCATCGAGTCGAGCCACCCCTGCGCCTTGGCCGCGTCGCCGGCGTTGGCGTGCGCGTGGATCACCGCCGAGAAGGAGATTGTGTTGGGCTGCAGGCCCGCCCGCTCGAGCTCTCGAAGCGTGGCCTCCGCCTGCGCCGGCCGGCCCGCCCGCGCGCACGCTGAGATGAGGCAGTTGTACGAGATGGCGTCGGGCGCAAAGCCTGAGGCAATGGGCGGAGACTAAGCCCCCCCCAAGAGACGCAAATGTCGGCACCTCTTCGCATGGGCAGGCCGGGCGTGGAGTCCGCCCTCGTGCGGAACAGGTCGAGCACACGCCGCGCCCCGCTCACGTCCGACGCCTTTGCGAACGCGTCCAGCGTCGCGTTGAAGGCGACCACCTCCGAGGCGGCGGTGCCGGCCAGAGGGACGCACGACGAGAGCATCCGGCTGAGCCACCGCTCCGCGGTCGCCGGCTGCGCGGCACGCGCCCACGCGGCGATGACGGACGCGTAGGACGCGGGCCCGGCCGGCACGAGGCCGCTGTCGATCATCGCCACGAGGGTTAGCTCCGCCTTTTGCGGGTCGCAGGCGCGCGCAAAGGCGCTGATCACTGTGTTGAAGGTGACGGCGTTGGGAGGCGGGAGCCCGCCGCGTGCCGCCTCGCCCCGCATCATGAGTGTGAGCAGCTCGGCCGCCGTCTTCACGTCGCCTTGCGCCACGTGCGCTGCGATAACCAGGTTGCAGGCGATCGTTCCAACTCCGATGCCGGCCGAGCGAGCCCGCCCAAACCAGTCGAGGACCGCCGAGGGAGGACCCTTGGCGGCGATGGCGACGAGGAGGTGGTTGAACATCTCGCGAGTCGGTGCGAGTCCGGCCGCCGAGCACGCCTGGACGACGCTGAGTGCGACCGCCTCCACGGACTCGCCGGACGCCTGCGGTGGGCGGAGTGCGCGGGTGAGGGGTCCGGTCCGCGGGAGATGCGCGGGTGAGGCGCCCGGTCCGCGGGAGACGCGCGGGTGAGGCGCCCGGTCCGCGGGAGACGCGCGAAGGCGCGGTCGTTCGCTTGTCGCGACGGAGTTTAGGGTGGCCGGTGAGGGCAGCACTGTGTCATCGGCGGCGGCCAAACACACCAGCGCATCCTTGCAGAACTGTTTGGTTATGGCGGCCGTCGTCTCCATCGGTGGCGGCTGAGGTGGCGGTGAGAGCGGCGCGGCGGGCGAGGGCGCGGCGGGCGAGGGCGAGGGCGAGGGTGAGGGCAGCGAGGGCGGGGCTGTCAGGCCCGGCGGGAAGGGGTGCATGGCGGGGGCGCCACGTTGATGATCAACGTGATATGCGAGGGTGCCTAACGATGAATACAAGGCGATTTGAAGATTTGTTTTATCGTTTTTCACTGCGCCCTTCGCTGTTCATTTGCGAGAGATTCTCCCGCCATTCTCTCGCCATTCTTCCTCCGTTCAGGCGTAATTCATCCGCTTTTCAAATACATTTTGTGGCGCTTTCAAGAGATTTTTTATCGCACATTTAGTGCTCTTCATGGCAGTTTAAGGCAAGCGTGCCTTATCCTGGCTGGGTCCGGCGTGGTCGGGAGCCCTCGACTCCTCGGCGAGCTCTTTCCTGCCTCAATGACATTGCAACAATGAACGCGTCTTACTTAGCCCTTAGCTGTCTAGAGCACGTCTTGCTACTATGCACCACAACAAAAAAAACGGGATCGTGAATTCTCTTCCGCGGTTCGTGCCCATACGGTTTCGCGCGCATGCCATCACCTGGAGCGGGTGTTGTTGCAGGCAGCTGTACTACCTTGGCTACAACGTGAAGTCTGGCGGCTGATTTATGATCTTTTCTGCCTTGGATGCTTGCTGCTTCTCTTGGTGGCTGGGCGTGCAAGCCTCGTGAACAACAAGGGTGGAGTCATGGCGGTGCGCGCGCCTGCGCCTTGATTAGCTGTGCCCTCCTGCAGGCTTGGACCTCCTCGCTACTGACTTGGCACTCCCTCACCAACCATGTATCCCTCTCACTCTTGGAGCTGGCGGCGGTGCATGCCGCAAGCCGTCTGTCTGGGCTGCAGTTGCACTTAGTCCAGGCGGCCTGGCAAGCTGTGCTGTTGCACTCTTCGCAGCACTCGGAGCTGCTCGGCATTGATTCCCTCATCATGAAATGTGGGATCTGTGGAAGCCAGATCATGGTCCTTATCCTAGCCCGCGACACTACTCACTGGGCGGTGCGGGTGCTTAGCAGCAGCAGTGTTCCTGCCCACCTGCCCATAAATTGGCTTGAAGGGGCTTGAATTTAGCGTCGGTGCGGTAACTTCAAGGCAAACCGTGTCGCCAAACATGTTCAAGTAACGCGGTTAAACGTTGTGTAAATGTGTCTTGAATGGCGGCTGAAAGGCGGGGGAAGAGCGGGTGAAGGGCGGGCGAAAGGAGGGAAAATGACGGCTGAATCGCTCACGAATCAACGTAAGAAGACATTCGAATAAGCGGTAAGATCGGCGCTAAACAGGCGATAAACGCGTTTTAAATTTATTTCTAGGGCGGTAAATTCACGCCTAGGCATCCCTCGATATGATTGGTCATCATCTCGGCTGTTGGAGATTATTCTTTTGTCACCACTGCCGCCTCCAGCACGCCCTGAGTTATGTATACGCCAACTCAGGGTGTGTGGCAGCCAGCTGGCTGTGTGTCTTGTGAGCTTGTTTGTGTCTGTGTGTCGTTCGTGCGTGTCGTCATCATCTGTCTCGCGTCCACCCATACCGCGTTGGTGTCCAGTCCGAGCCTGGCTGTTCTTCACCTTTCTACCTACCTACCTACGCCCTACCCACCCACCACCGACATCACACCCTCGTCTCATCGCGCAGGCCCTGCTCCCGCAGCGCCGCGCGCAGCGTCTCGATGACGCGCTCCGTCGCGGCAATGCAGCGCTTGCAGTCCCGCACGAGATGCGCCTGCCGCTCGCTCGATGTGTCTCCGCCGGCGAGGCGGCGCAGCATCTCGCCGCGCGCGGGAAGTGCGCGCAGGCCCGCTCGAAAGGTGGAGCGAAGGAGGAGGCCGTGGTAGGGGGCGACCCAGTCGTTGTACACGACGCCGGTCGCGTAGCGCGGCATGCTCATGCCGGCGACCACCTCCTCGTCCGCCAGCGCGCGCAGGATCCCGAGCCAGAAGCCGAGCATCCGAGTGGCCCACGTCAGCGCGAGCGCCGCCGACGACTCTTCGAGCCGGCCCTCGCCGAGCTGCGCGCCGGCCGCCCTCTCGGCGGCCAGCAGCGCGCGCAGCGACGCGGGAGAGCCGTGCGCCAGCCACGCCTCCCGGATCGTCCGGATGTTGCTCTCGTCGCACTTGCAGATGAGCATCATGAACGGTCCGAGCAGGCGGGACGAGGCAGACTGCACCGCCATCGCGTCCAGCAGGCTCTGGACGGGGAAGCCGCCCGGCCGCGCGTGGCCGGCGATCAGCCCCTCCCACGTGAACGCCACCCTGGCCACGACCGAGCTGAACTCGCCCGCGCCGCCGCCGTCGTCCATGGTTCCTCCCTTCCACGTGAGCGTGTAGAAGGTCGACATGAGCATGTCGCCAACCATGCAGGCGAGCATGACGCCGGTGGCGAGCCCAAAGGCGGTGAGCTCGGGCGTGGCGAAGAGGTGCGGAAAGGCCATATGTGGTTTGTCTGTCAGGCAGCGTGTGGCGGGTGAGCCGAGCAGGGCATGAGAGGAGCGCGAGCTAAGGGAGCGCTCCACTAAAAGGACGCTTCGCTGTGTGCCGGGCTACACGTGGACTCGGTGGAATGCCCGGGCGAACGCGGCCAGCACCTGGGTTCGGCTGACAGCCCGCGCTTTGTGTCCTCCAACCAGGTTCGCTGTGAAGAGAGCTGGGGCGCGCCACCCAAGAGCCTAGGTAGGTGCGGATCGGCAAGAGCGCAATCGATCTTTTTGCCCTCTATCACCTTGGGTTCTAAGAACTTGAAACACACCACGCAGGGGCACAGCAAGCACGGATAGCCGTTGAGGAGAGAGGGTAAGGTGTATGCGCAGCCACGGCCGTGCCGCGGTGGGCGCGCCACCTCCCGCGAGCGCGGCGGGATCGGAATTGCGGCCGGAGGGAAGGGCGAGCCGCCGCCGCCGCCGCCATATACCATCAGCGACGACGTCCGCGGCTCGCCCCAAACGCCAGGCGCTGGATCGGCAGTAGGGCTTGGGCGGCGCAGCGTAGGCCTCGAGCCACACGAGTCGCCGACAACCCCCCCTCATCGACGTGATGGCCGCTCTCACTGCCGGCCGATGCAAGCTGCCGCCTCCACCGCACCAGCGATACTGGCCGCGGCTCGCCGCCACGCGCCGGCTCGGAAGAGGGGCTGTCGGCAGCGCAGCAGAGCGGCATGCGTCGTCATTCGAGCAGCACCAGGTCCCCTCTTCGACGTGACGGCCGCTCCCGGAGCCGGCCGGTGCGCGCCCGACCCACGCCCCCTCTCGCACCCCCCCGATCCCCCTGCGCGGCGCCCCCTCCACTGCGCGCCGGCTCGAGCGCCTATTGCCAAATCGCGACTTTCGAGCGCAGTGCGTGCGCCCCACACGTCACGCAAGCGCAGGAGAGTTTGCGGCAGAGCAGTACCGTGTACTAGCCGGAGGCATCGCGCCGAAAACCCCGCGCATTCCGCCCCAACAGAGGCTGCAGGAGGCAGATGGCCAATAGCGACGATCGTTACGAAATGTTGGGGACCGGGGAGGCTCCAAGCTGTCTTGGCGCATGTAGCCGTTAGGGCCCACGATGGAGACGGTGCGGTTCGCGTCGAGCTTGAGCTCGGTGTACTTCCGAGTTTGGGGAAGGGGGGGCGCGGGGGGGAGGGGGGGGGGGGGGAGGGGGTGATGCGTGAGAGTCAGTGCGCGTGCGTGTGTGCAGGAAGAGGGTGGGCGATCGGTGGAGCTGTGCGAAGATGCGGGGGATTGGTTCGCACTCGGCGTGTAGCGTCTGAGACGGGGTTTTCTTCTTTCTCTTCACCCATGGCGAGGGAGGGGCTGGGCGTTGGTTGAAAGAAAGAAAACAGACAAGCTCGGTTTTTTTGAACACCAGAAATCGCGCAGAAAATCCGCGGGATAATTATTAACAACCCTGCAACGCGCCAAAAGCTTCACCTATGTTTGCCAAAATGTCGTCGAGCGCGCCGCAGCCACAGGCGCCGTATGTCGACGCGGTTCTGCGAGGCGACGAAGCAGCGGTGCGTTCGTGGCTCGAGAGAGGCGGGGGAGCAAACACCACGCGCGAGAATGGCGAGGTAACCGGCGTTACCCTTCTGATGGACGCCGCCGGCCAGGGCCACGAGCGGGTGGCTGCCTTGCTGCTGCAGCACGGCGCTCAAATCAACCTGCAGAACAGCGACGGCGCCACCGCGATGATGCACGCTGCCATCAAAGGCCACGAACGGGTGGTCGACTTGCTGCTTCAACACGGCGCGGGTGCCGACCTGCAGAAGAGCGACGGCGGCACTACGCTGATGGAGGCCGCCCAGGAAGGCCACGAGCGGGTGGTCGACTTCTTGATTCAGCACGGCGCAGATGCCAACCTGCAGAGCGATGGCGGCACCGCGCTGATACTTGCCGCTGGAAACGGCCACGAGCGGGTGGTCGAGCTGCTGCTGCAGTGCGGCGCTGAGGTCGACCTGCAAAACAGCTACGGTGGCACCGCACTGATGGGCGCCGCCGTCAAAGGCCACCCCGCAATCGTGCTCCGCTTGCTTCAGGCGGGCGCGGACACAACGGCACGCGCTGCAGACGGCAGGTCCGCGCTGCAGATGGCCAGTGAGAAGGGCCAGTGCTTCTCCGATGAGATGGTCAAGCTGGCTATTGCCGACGCCAGTGCTTCTACGATGGACCACAAAAAGCGCGCGGACCACGCGAGGTGCGTGCGCGCTCTCAAAGACCACGCAGTGCCACCGCAGTGGCAAAAAGCGCTCGAGGCCAAGAGGCGGCGCGAGCAGCGCGAGCGGGAGGAGGCGGCGGCGGCGCGAAAGCGCGCGCAGGCGGCAAGCAGGCGGGAGGCAGAGCGAGCGGCGGACGAGGCGCGGCGAGCGGCGGACGCTGCGGCGCTGGAGGAGCAGAGGCGAGCGATTGCGGCGGAGGTGGAGGCGAAGCTGGCTGCAGAGCGCGCGGCAGCAGAGGAGAGGCTGCTGGCAAGGGAGGCGGAGAGGCGAGCAGCAGAGGAGGCGCAGCGAGAGGAGCAGCGGGCGACGGCGACGGCTCGCAACGCTGCTCAGGCAGAGGCGGAGCGGCGCGAGAAGGAGGCTGCTGACAAGAGGGCGGAGGAGGAGAAGGCGACGCGGCTGGCGAAGGCGGCCGAGAAGAAAGCGGCTAGAAAGGAGGGCAAGGCGAAGAACAAGGAGGCCAAGAAGGCGCCGTCCGCCTTCAAGCTCGAGGAGGAGCGGAGAGCGAAGGCTGCGGCAGAGCTTCGCGATCAGGAGGAGAGGGCGGCGCAGCTGGCTGCTGAGCAGGAGGCGGCGAGGCGAGCGGAGCGCGAGGCGGCAGAGCGAGCGGGTGCGGCGGAGCGGGCAGCGCTGTGCGAGGCTGCGGAGCTAGCAGAGGCGCTGCGCCGGTCAGAGGTGGATGCGGAGGAGGCGCTGGTGCGTCGGGTGTCGCGGTGCAAGGAGGCGGTGAGCAGCGAGCCGACCGTCGGTGGCGGGGACTTGCAGCGGCGTGTCGATCGGCTGGAGGCAAGCCTCGGCGCGGCGATCGAGGGTAGCCTCGAGGAGCGGGTCAGCGCCATCGAGCGCTTGATGGGGCCAGGAGCGGCAGAGGCGGCGGAGAAGCATCTGCCAGTCACCGAGCCGCTTGCTGCCGTCTCACTAGCGGACGCCGGCCTCGACACGGGGCGACCGGCTGCCCCAGAGTCCACCATGGGGGGCGAGACGTCGTGCATCATATGCTTCGAGCGGCCGAAGTCTCACCTCGCGGTGCCGTGCAGCCACTTGTGCGTGTGCGGTCCATGCTCTGGGCTGATGCCAGAGTGTCCTTACTGCCGCGAGCCAGTGATGATGTGGCTCGCCCCGCGCCCTGTATGATCAGCGGTGGAACCCATCCGATGGTGAAAAAGAATGGGGGCGGGCTCTCCCCCGGGCGGTGGAGACAAACCACACATCCCATCTGGGAATATCCTCCAGAGATCCCACACACTCGTCTCGTGGGAGGGGGGGGGGGGGGGGGGGTTTTCACGGACCAGTAATCGCAACTCGAAGAGACTGTAAGACGTCGCACTTCTCGCACTGAACCGACACAATAGCAATACGGGGACTATATCCAAGAACCCGTAGCGCTAGAGCCGCTCGTTCAAACCATCATGGGGTTCATGATCTCCTTGTTGGTCTCTTTTACCCGGGGGGGACGTGGTAAGCGGCGTAAGCCAAGGAGGCTGCCGGCTGGGGTTGGGCCGCAATAACCAGGGAGGCTGCGGCCCCCAAGGGGGGTGGCCCCCCCCCGCCGTTCCCGTAGGCCGTGGTTGCCGCAGGTTGGCCCCCCGGCCCCCGCCGCTGGGGGCCCCGGGGGGGGGGGGGGGGGG